AAACCCCAAAAAAAAAAAAAAAAAAAAAAAAAAAAAAAGTTAGGCATGCAGTTCAGTGTAAAGACCCAGGGTTCAGTCCTCAGACCCACCAAAATTTTATTTTAAAATAAATATAAATTCTTAGCTGTTTCCAATCTACTGAATTGGAAATTCAGGGGGGAGGGTCCTAGCTATCTCTTTTTTTTTAATCAGTCTTCTATGGAATCCTAAGGTAGTCCAGAACTGGGAACCATCCCTAGTACCAAAACAAAACAAAACAGAACTGGGAACCACATGTGAAGAGAAATAGGCTTTGCGTCTGTCTGGGCTGCACAGCTCATGAGCACTTCTTGCATACGTCATCTCCATTCTCAGAGAAGTGGAATGTGTGTGTGTGTGTGTGTGTGTGTGTGTGTGTGTGTGTGCGCTGAGCTCTCACTTCCTAGCTGAGGACTTGCACCTGGAGGGCTCAGGGAAGGCAGTCTCAGCCAGCCTTCACCAGTCTTTGAGTTCTAATGGATTCACCCTGCCCTGCTCTCAGCCCCTCAGTGTCTGGGTGAACACGCAGCACCTGCCCAGCAGTGCCAAGGATAGCCACACTGGGTTTCAGTGGGAGGGACAAGCTCCCCGCTCTTCATAAGCCAGCTCTGCAGCAGCGAGGCAGCCGTGCTCCTGTCTTATGCCCACTCTGTCTGGTGTCAAACCTTCCATCACTCAATTTCTAGGGGGTGATGCCTCAGTGACTGACATCTTCTGGGCAGATGGGGAAGATGGGGTGTCCTTCATACACCCCAGCAGTGAGCTCTACCTGCAGCCTCTGGCAGGTAATGGCCCCACTTTCCCTTCTTGGCTTGACCCAGCCCGTCTCATGCCTACACCCATGCCTACTTCCGTGGCAGCCGCCAGGTCTGCAATGCTGGCTGCCTGGTTCTTACAAAGCACAGGAACATTTGGGAAGGGGGCTTTCTGTTGAGATGACGGTAAGGGACATTTGGGAGTACTTGTGAAGTGTCCCCTCAATACAGAGTCTCTTCAAATACCTGGGGCTCAGTAGTTCTAGAAGGGGGATGTCTGGACATGAGAACCTAGGCTCTCCAACCATCCTGTGTCCCTGGCACTGCTTGCCCCAAACTCCTGGGCTAGAAATAACCATGTAGCTAGAAAAGACATGTATGTCCCATACCCAGTCCCTACTTCCTATCCCCCAACACCCCACCTTACCAGTTGTTTTACTCAGTCATGGAGAGCCATGGAGAAGTGGAGATCCGGAGGCACCCCAACTGTAGTCATTGCCCTTTGAAAGACTGCCAGTGGCAGGGAGTGCTCCAGCTGGCTGCATGTGTGTGCCCAGAGGGCATGGAGCTAGCTGTGGATAATGTCACTTGCATGGGTATGTCTTACCTCAGCACAGGGTCTGACTCCTGGGTCACCGGCTGGGAGGAGCTATGGGCACTGGGAGAGATGGTACAGAGGCCTGCTGTAGGCCAAGCACTGTTGGGTGCTGGGCAGGGGCTTGGAGGTGCAGTAGTGCACATTCTGCCTTCAAGGAGCATGCAGGCTAGTGTGGGAGGTGAGATGGGTATCTAGATGTAGATGTATAGATACAAACCTAAAAATGGTAGTTGCTATGGGAGATCAAATGTTTAGGGTTCTTGAAAAGGAGCTGTTGCTTTTTATCTAGGATAATTGAATTGGGGATAGCATCCAAGGTGTAACTGAGCTGAGTCTCCAATGATGGTAAGACTGGAGGGATAAAGGGGAGCTGCTCTTTGGCGTCTCTCTTTCCCTTAGACCTGCCCAGGACCCCAAGCCCTCTGGTTCTGATGGTGTCTGTGATAGCAACCTTGACGCTGGTCCTCCTCGTGGTTTGCGGGGTCCTGATCTTAGGTATGGAGCATCCAGCAGACATGGCCAACTCCAAACCGCCCCTTCTCCCACCGAGCTGTGGTGCACTACAAGGCACCTGTCCCACAGAGTGGTGGCGGACTCCTCTGGGCTTCAAAGTGTGGAAGTGGCTGGGAGGCCTGGGGAACCACTGAACGGGCATCTGGACGGGTGCCCAGGCAGTGGGAAGCAGGGTGGCCTGATGGACAAGAAAAGGCGAGTTTTTGTTCTTCCCTCTCCCAGTGAGCCAGAAGAAGTGGCCAGGCCAGTGGGGGACAAGGCTGCCGGACCCTGAGCTTGAATTGAGCAAGCTTCGAACCTCCACCCTCAGGACAGCCCCCAATTCCTATTACTGCCAGGTGGAGGTTGGCCCGGTCCAGTCCTGGCCTTTTGGGCTCCCTGAGGTCTCCCCAGCCAATGTAACTCTGCTCAGGTGAGTCCCCCAACTCTTCTGAGAACCAGAGCACTAGGAATCCCCACCTGCCTCCTGCTCCTGCTCTGTGGGGCCCGGTGAACATCCAAGTCAAACCCTTTGTGTTAGAGAGATGGAGGGTTAGACATGTGCCAAGGGGAAGTATCTTACTCAGGGTCAGTTCTCCGGCCCAGGCTCCAGTTCTCGAATGGTAAGGACCTTGGAATGAGACTTTTTCTAGAGCCCCAGTTCTGCCTCTCTTGCCCCATCCCAGACCCTCACCCAGCTCCATTCTCCTTTTGTCCTGGCTTTGTGAGCCAGTGCCCTCTGCCTTGCAGGTCTTCCGCTCCAGACATCCATAGTGCAGAGAGCTCAGCTAGGACACACGGTGGCACAAAGCCAAGGAAGGGGTCCTAACCCATCCCAATCTGTCTTCCTGCAGCACTCTGGGCCATGGTGCCTTCGGGGAGGTGTACCAGGGACTGGTAACTGGCCTTCCTGGGGAGCCCAGACCACTGAGGGTGGCTGTCAAGGTGAGGGGGTTGGAACTTCTTGCGGGGGCACTAGGGAGAGACAGGAATGATCACTAGAGTGAGGGTAAACTGCCCTCCCAAGGGACCGGTGGAGCTCAGGATCACTGCACTTTTCCTCCCAGGCCCTGCGGAAGCTCTGCTCTCCTCGGGAGGAGCTGGACTTCCTCATGGAGGTGCACATCATCAGGTGGGCCTGGGGCGGGAGGAGCCTGGAACCACCTCAGGAATGGCTTCTCCTCCCTGGGGCAGAGAGGGCCTCTGCAATGTGTGGAGTCAGGAATCTGCTTATCTCCCAATGTGCCCACCCACCCCGACCCCCAGCAAGCTCTGTCACCAGAATGTCGTGCGCTGTGTGGGGCTCAGCTTCCGGGCGGCACCTCACCTCATTCTTCTGGAGCTAATGTCTGGAGGCGACATGAGGACTTTCTTGATGGACTGCCGGCCTCATCTGGTGAGTCCTTCTCCCAGCCCCCAGACCCCTCTAAATCAGAGATTTTGTCCATGGGTCCCAAGAGCAGCCTGGATTGCCACACCCTCTGTCTGACCCAGGGCAAGCCATCACCTCTGGCCATGCAGGACCTGCTGCAGCTGGCCCAGGACATAGCCCAAGGCTGTCATTACCTGGAGGAGAATCACTTCATACACAGGTTGGAAGCCCAACTCACTGCCCAGTGAACAGCTCTCGTACCCAACTTTCAGGGAAATACATCAGGAAGAGCCAGAGCGTCTGAGTTCTGGTAGTGTTTTCTTTGACCCACTCTGCAGGGACATTGCTGCCCGGAACTGCCTACTGAGTTGTACTGGGCCTGGCCGAGTGGCCAAGATTGGGGACTTCGGGATGGCAAGAGAGATCTACCAGTATGGAACTTGGGGAGGTGGGAATGCAGGGCTCCTGGGGATCACCAGCATTTTGAGAGTGTTAGGACTTTGATGGTTACACTCCTCCTCCTTCCTGCAGGGACAGTTACTACCGAAGGGGTGGCCCAGCCTTCCTCCCAGTCAAGTGGATGCCCCCTGAGGCTCTTCTGGAGGGCATCTTCACATCCAAAACAGACTCCTGGTGATAACACACCCTCCCCCTGCCCTATCCTTGCCCAGATGCTCGTCCTGCCTCATCTAAGGGAAGGGAAGGTTGCATATGACTGATAGGGTTCACCAGTTATCCCCCATCTGTGGTGCAGGTCTTTTGGGGTGCTACTCTGGGAGATCTTCTCCCTGGGCTATGTGCCCTACCCTGGGCGCACCAACACAGAGGTCCTGGACTTCGTCACTGCAGGGAGTCGGATGGACGCCCCTCGGGGCTGTCCGGAGCCCGTGTGAGTTTTGAGCTGCCTGGGTAAGGGAGGTCCCCTGTCCTTGGGTGGACCAAACTCATGCCCCCCCAGGTGCCACATCATGACCCAGTGTTGGCAGCATCAGCCTGAGCTCCGCCCCAGCTTTGCCAGCATCTTGCAGCACCTCCAGTACTGCACTCAGGTGTGCCCAGCCCTCCTCCCTCGGCCCCTCACCCCTTCCCTGCAGGTCTGGAAGAAAGCCATAAAGTAACTATGGCTCCTTACTCCCCATCCTCCCATCACAGGACCCTGATGTGCTGAACTCACCCCTGCCAATGACTCTGGAGCCCACTCTGGAGGAGAAAGGGGCTCCTGGGCTGGGGAATAGGTCTTTGGAGGATCCCAGGTCTCTACAGCCCCAGGGCCAGAGTCCAAAGACCCTGAAGAGCAGGGGAGGAAGCCGCCTTGGCCGCTGGCTGTCCTCTGGCCTCCAGCCCCTCACACCTAGAGGCCTCCAATTTCAGAACATTTGGAATCCCACCTATGGTTCCTAGACCCCCAAAGGGCTGGCACTGATCTTAGTGAACGCACCTCCTGCACACCTTCCTGGGCTTCCCCATGATTCCCTAGCCTCTGTCCTCCGCAGCCTCAAGGTGTGCCTGGGCCTGTCTCAGGGTGGTCCTGGCCACACTGGACTTTCCTTGCTGGCAACAGCCTCAGGGGCCAGCAGGGAGTCCTGGATTCCCCCCTCCCATGAAAGACTTTCATCCGGGCAGCCCCCAACCCTGCAGACATTTCTAATAAAAGCTCTTCTCTCATCTGCCATCATCTGAGTGGATGTGAAGGAGTTCAGAACTGAAGAAGAGGAGACCAGAGTGAGAGGGAATGAGGCCTGAGTCGCAGAAGCCGGGTCTTTTAGCTTTATTGGGAAGGGGGCCCATTGTAGTGTGGGAAGTCTGCCCAATAGGTCCAGACTTGTAAAATAGAATTCTTTACCTGGCCCCTCTGGAGAGATTCAGAGCCCCCTCAGAAGAACTGGGCTGAGGCAGACGCCTACTGTTCTCCTTCTCTCCTCTAAATTAGTGTCATTCAGCTCTGTGAATGTGGGGCTTGCATGAGGCCAACTTCCTGTGCTGGCAATGCACCTCTTAGTGGTTGGCACCTGGCCCTGCAGGACCGAGTAACCCCCCGCCCAGCGGGGTTCGGTCTTGCTGGCATGCACTGTGGGGTCACAGCCACAGGTTCACATATCTGACTGGCAGGCCCAAGTGGAGACAGCCCGGCCTCATCTCTCCGTGAGGCTCGCCAGGATGCCAATAAGATTGTCCAGGCCTAGCAGATAGCCGTCCTCGCGGTTGCCCTCCTCCCAGGGCCGCCGGTGGTCCAGGATCTGGCCATCTGGGAGGGGTGTGGTCTTGCCAAAATCGATGAGCCACACGCCAGCGCGATGGCAGTGATCATGCACGAAGAGGAGTGAGCTGCCGATCACCTGCGAGCCCCACAGTCAGGCTGTGCCCCTTCCTTGAGGACTCCCCGCAGGCTGCACCCCCAGCACCTGCATCCACCCAGGCCTCTTACCTCGTGCCTCCTAAAAAACTCGGAGACTTCCAGGGTGTCCCGGATCTGCTGCAGGCGGTTCAGATACCTTCTCTAGACAGGGCAGAGTGGGCAGTTACCTGCATGCTAAGGGAGACCCTGCAGCCAACATGCATTTTCATCTTGGCAAATTCGGTTGTGAGGAAGAGACAGGCCTTCACAGGGCCCAGAGGGAAGGGCCACAGAGCAATTTCAACACATCCAGATAAATGCTGGGGGAGGGCAGCGGACCAGGGTATAGAACAGATGAGCGGAGGCACACTGGGATCAAGCACCTCCTCACTCAGGGCTCTAGGACTAGGCTCTCACCAGCACTTCTGTATCTCCTTGCACAAACTCCTCAAAGACTCGGGTCACCTGCTCCCGGCTTCTTGTGGTCTTGAAGTCAGTGCTGCAGGAGCCATCAGCTTTCTGAAGGAGGTAGGCAGGGCATGTCAGGGCAGCCGGCCTGGGGAAGAGGCTCTGGCAAGGGCAGCGGTACCTCCCGGCAAGACGTTAGGTTCTGAGAAGGAGATGGGGTGGGGGGCTGTGGCGGGGCCAGCGTGGAGCAAGGGCCCAGGCAGGGCAGGACGCAGGGGCCTGGCCCACCTTGATGCCCTCGATGCGGAAACCAAGCGTGGTGCTGGAGCTGATGCCCTCCCGCCACTGCATGTAGCGCGGCTTGGTGACAGCCCGTTGCGCATGCTCCTCCTCTGTGGGCGCCGCGGGGTCCACGGCCAGCATCTTCTTGTACATGTCCTTGCGCAGTTTGGGGCGCTCTCGGGCCTTGGTCAGCTCCTCCTCCAGGTAAGTCCTGTGGGGCGTGGGCAGGGGCATGAGGGACGCAGGTACCCCACCCACCGCCCACTGGGCAGCGCCCGGGGCCGCACACCTGACTCCCATTTTGCAGTCCAGCACGCAGGGCCCGTCGAAGCCGTCCAGCAGGTCCTGCAGCTGCAGGTAGCTCTCGCCGTCGCGCTCC